TTTTCCAACATTTTGTCATATCTCACGAAATATTGAACCAATCGAGCTGAAACTCAGCGCGTTGTGCTCAGCAGGTTGCGTTTGACCGAATAGTACTATTTGCTGCAATGTGCAAAAATAAGTTTTTTCCAACATTTTGTCATATCTCACGATCTATTGAACCAATCGAGATGAAACTCAGCGCGTTGTGCTCAGCAGGTTGCGTTTGACCGAATAGCACTATTTGCTGCAATGTGCAAAAATAAGTTTTTCCAACATTTTGTCATATCTCACGAACTATTGAACCAATCGAGCTGAAACTCAGCGCGTTGTGCTCCGCAGGTTGCGTTTGACCGAATAGCACTATTTGCTGCAATGTGCAAAAATAAGTTTTTCCAACATTTTGTCACATCTCACGAACTATTGAACCAATCGAGCTGAAACTCAGCGCGTTGTGCTCAGCAGGTTGCGTTTGACCGAATAGCACTATTTGCTGCAATGTGCAAAAAGAAGTTTTTTCCAACATTTTGTCATATCTCACGAACTATTCCACCAATCGAGCTGAAACTTCAGCGCGTTGTGCTCAGCAGGTTGCGTTTGACCGAATAGCACTATTTGCTGCAATGTGCAAAAATAAGTTTTTTTCCAACATTTTGCCTTATCTCACGAACTATTGCACCAATCGAGCTGAAACTTAGCGCGTTGTGCTCCGCAGGTTCGTTTGACCGAATAGCACTATTTGCTGCAATGTGCAAAAATAAGTTTTTTCCAACATTTTGTCATATCTCACGAACTATTGAACCAATCGAGCTGAAACTCAGCGCGTTGTGCTCAGCAGGTTGCGTTTGACGGAATAGCACTATTTGCTGCACTGTGCAAAAATAAGTTTTTCCAACATTTTGTCATATCTCACGAACTATTGAACCAATCGAGCTGAAACTCAGCGCGTTGTGCTCAGCAGGTTGCGTTTGACTGAATAGCACTATTTGCTGCAATGTGCAAAAATAAGTTTTTTCCAACATTTTGTCATATCTCACGAACTATTGAGCCGATCGAGCTGAAACTCAGCGCGTTGTGCTCAGCAGGTTGCATTTGACCGAATAGCACTATTTGCAGCAATGTGCAAAAATAAGTTTTTTCCAACATTTCGTCATATCTCACGAACTATTGAACCAATCGAGCTGAAACTGCGCGCGTTGTGCTCAGCAGGTTGCGTTTGACCGAATAGCACTATTTGCTGCAATGTGCAAAAATAAGTTTTTTCCAACATTTTGTCATATCTCACGAACTATTGAACCAATCGAGCTGAAACTCAGCGCGTTGAGCTCAGCAGGTTGCGTTTGACTGAATTGCAGTATTTGCTGCAATGTGCAAAAATAAGTTTTTTCCAACATTTTGTCATATCTCAAGAACTATTGAACCGATCGAGCTGAAAGTCAGCGCGTTGTGCTCAGCAGCTTGCGTTTGACCGAATAGCACCATTTGCTGCAATGTGCAAAAATAAGTTTTTTTACACATTTTGTCATATCTCACGAACTATTGAACCAATCGAGCTGAAACTCAGCGCGTTGTGGTCAGCAGGTTGCGTTTGACCGAATAGCAGTATTTGCTGCAATGTGCAAAAATAAGTTTTTCCAACATTTTGTCATATCTCACGAACTATTGAACCAATCGAGCTGAAACTCAGCGCGTTGTGCTCCGCAGGTTGCGTTTGACCGAATAGCACTATTTGCTGCAATGTCCAAAAATAAGTTTTTTCCAAGATTTTGTCATATCTCACGAACTATTGAACCAATCGAGCTGAAACTCAGCGCGTTATGCTCAGCAGTTTGCGTTTGACCGAATAGCACTATTTGCTGCAATGTGCAAAAATAAGTTTTTTCCAACATTTTGTCATATCTCACGAACTATTGAACCAATCGAGCTGAAACTCAGCGCGTTGTGCTCAGCAGGTTGCGTTTGACCGAATAGCACTATTTGCTGCAATGTGCAAAAATAAGTTTTTTCCAACATTTTGTCATATCTCACGAACTATTGAACCAATCGAGCTGAAACTCAGCGCGTTGTGCTCAGCAGGTTGCGTTTGACCGAATAGCACTATTTGCTGCAATGTGCAAAAATAAGTTTTTTCCAACATTTTCTCATATCTCACGAACTATTGAACCAATCGAGCTGAAACTCAGCGCGTTGTGCTCAGCAGGTTGCGTTTGACCGAATAGCACTATTTGCTGCAATGTGCAAAAATAAGTTTTTTCCAACATTTGTCATATCTCACGAACTATTGAACCAATCGAGCTGAAACTCAGCGCGTTGTGCTCAGCAGGTTGCGTTTGATCGAATAGCACTATTTGCTGCAATGTGCAAAAATAAGGTTTTTCCAACATTTGGTCATATCTCACGAACTATTGAACCAATCGAGCTGAAACTCAGCGCGTTGTGCTCAGCAGGTTGCGTTTGATCGAATAGCACTATTTGCCGCAATTTGCAAAAATAAATTTTTTCCAACATTTTGCCATATCTCACGAACTATTGAACAAATCGAGCTGAAACTCTGCGCGTTGTGCTCAGCAGGCTGCGTTTGACCGAATAGAGTGCTATTTGCTGCACTGTGCAAAAATAAGTTTTTTCCAACATTTTGTCATATCTCACGAACTATTGAACCAATCGAGCTGAAACTCAGCGCGTTGTGCTCAGCAGGTTGCGTTTGACCGAATAGCACTATTTGCTGCAATGTGCAAAAATAAGTTTTTTCCAACATTTTTTCATATCTCACGAACTATTGTACCAATCGAGCTGAAACTCTGCGCGTTGTGCTCACAGGTTGCGTTTGACCGAATAGCACTATTTGCTGCAATGTGCAAAAATAAGTTTTTTCCAACATTTTATCATATCTCACGAACTATTGAACCAATCGAGCTGAAACTCAGCGCGTTGTGCTCAGCAGGTTGCGTTTGACCGAATAGCACTATTTGCTGCAATGTGCAAAAATAATTTTTTTCCAACATTTTGTCATATCTCACGAACTATTGCACCAATCGAGCTAAAACTCAGCGCGTTGTGCTCAGCAGGTTGCGTTTGACCGAATAGCGCTATTTGCTGCAATGTTGAAAAATAAGTTTTTTCCAACTTTTGTCATATCTCACGAACTATAGGCCGGTTTACACGACAAGCGTTTTGGGCACGGCACCCCTGAAAATGGGCACCCGTGCTCAAAATTTTAGGCACGGCACCTCTGCCTTTTGGCGTGTAAACGTGACAAATTCGGCACCGGTGCCGCAAAATTTAAACGTGCCGAGACTTTCTCACGAGGTAGTCTCGGCACCTCTAGCAAGGGGTGCCGTGCCCAAATTTCGAAAGATACAAAATGTGTTCGACATTGAGCATGCGCAAAACAAATTGTCCTCCCGCCAACATGGCAGCAAGCGGCGAACGTGCCAAAAATATTGAAAAACAAAGTGAAAAAACAAGTATAAGTAATACAAAAATACGTAAAAATCGAGGTGTTGTATGGCAAGACGATGCAACAAACTTTTTAATTGACGTTTGGGGCGAGGAAGTTATACAACTGCAGTTGGAAAACTGCAAGACGTCAAAACAAACGTCAAAAATTTACGAAACAATACTGGTAAGTCATTTAAATATATTTAAATAATATTGTATTAAAGACGGAATTTGCGTAATATTTACAAAGTTATTTCATCGCTTGTATTTTTATACTAATCGGCCAACGGCAATTCGGCAATTTGAAAACTGAATCTTTCCTTTTTTAGATTCAACTGCAAAAAAATGGCCATTGTGAAGGCTTTACATCCCGGGATGTTGTCAACAAAGTTAAGAAGTTAAGGCAAAAGTATAAAGTAGAGAAAGACAAAAAACGAAGATCTGGAAGCGGTAAAGGAAAAGAATGGAAATTTTTTTCTAAATTGGACGCATTCTTGTCCACTAAGCCAAATGTTGAACCGTTGCTCGTGGTTGACACCATGGCAGAAAGTAGCACGAATGACGAAACTACTCGGCCTGAGACTGAGGAAACAGACGATCCGGTCGAAGGTGGGTAAAATGCTTTCCCCTCTATGAAAAAGGGTTATCATATAAGTCTTTATGTAGGGGATTAATTTATTTCTGATTTTTAATACTTCTGTCATTATCATTTGGCAGATATGATAAAAAAGTATGGCGAAAGTCAATCACATGTCCAGAAATGTAACACGTGCGAGTATGAGCAAGTCATCAATTCATCTGGAGTTCTAAACTTGGAATCAGGCTCTGTGAGGGTATATGCTGACGACGATGAATTCTCCTGTCCAAACTGTGAAAACACAGGCACAGCTGTTCCAAATTGTGAGAGCACAGCAGATTCGAATTATGGAAGTACAGCCGGTTTGGATGAAAGTAAATTGTGCATGCTTTTATATTATTTAACCCATTGAGTGGCAGCACTCTCTCCCTGACAAGTAAAATCGTCCGGTGTTAGACAGAGTAACATAATAAAGCATGCATTTGGGTGCATTGCCACTTAATAAAGGGTTAACACTATATAAATAATAGCTGGGGTTCGTACAAAGGAATATAAAGGATGTTGCAAAGTTTTGGAAGGCATTTCAAACTCTGGGAAATCTTTACGGATCATGGGATATATCAACTAGTCTCTTCCCATTAATTGTTGGTTCAAATAACTTCCCTCCTTATTATAGAGAATAGCTGTGAATAAATTTTAAGGCATTTATTCTAATTTAGATAATAAATCCAAAAATAACTTTTTTCATATAGCATTGCCATTGGACAGTGATGATGATGTGCCAGAAAATGTGCAACCATTTAGCACTGATTCTGCAGAGAACAAAAAAAGTGCCAGCTCTGTCAGTGCCAGTGGTATTAAAAAAAGGAAAAGGAGCAATATTGAGAAGTCTTTGGATGTTGTTTTCCAGAAATTCCAAG